GAGTTTACTAAAATGATCACAATGGAAAATGAAAAGCCGACGAATATGAATCCTTTTGGGCTTTCACTCATCTCAATCAAACCTACCTATTGAAGTAAGACTTCTACCGAAAAACGATTTATCATTTGGCAAAATTCTCTTATCATTTAAATAATTAAGTATCAACAAAATGATCGAGTTGTTCTTATTGTTCAATAATAATATGTAATATCGTGGTTTAATTTCACTTAATGAACCTTTCTATACTATCCATTTGACAGATCTCAATATTAGAATCTTTCTACCACCATCCTTTTTTTTGCATAAAATAATCTTAAATTAAGCAATTGACCAATCACATCTTTGGAAGATGTGAGACTGAACTGATATTATCTTTTTAGAATTGAAGAAAACATATGATTGTAAAGTGATTCTAACGAGAGCCAATTAAACTGGTACCCACCGTTTGAACTCATATTGGACGTATAAGAACGCCTTGGTGAGACTAGCAACAGTCTAAAAGGATTCGTTCCCAAAAACCATTGTAATCGAGTAATAATTGTTTTACTAAACTTTCGAGTTATTTTTAGATACATACCGAAAAATCAAAACATAGAATTTTGACCCAGAAATTTCCGTCCACAGATCGATCTAATGACCCTTAGAATATTCTGGAAGTTTCAGCCGAAAAGCATATTTTTTTTGCTGTGATATTGAATTTCCAAAAAGTAATCGTTTGTCACAGGCATCATACAAAACTCGAGTTTACCTGAGAATTCAATATCTTGATAGAAGAACAATCTTTTCGACTGAAACTTTCAGGATATTCTGAGGGTCATTTGATCTATCTATAGTCGAAATTCGATCACATGATTTTTCAGTAAATACCTAAAACGATCATAACTCGACTCCAAAGGTTCATCAGGATGAACCCTTTTATACTTTTGATAAACTTATGAAAACATCTTTATATGCTTCAATATGAGCTCAAAACATGACTATCAGCTCGAGTGGTTCTCTCATAAGATCTTATCATCCGATAAAATCTTTTTGAATGAGAACATACAACATCCTATACACATCAACAAAGCTTTGTAATCATCTAATATAACTCACGACGACAACATATCGTACATACTCATTTGATTACATAATCTGAGAGCATGTTTACTTGAATATCATTTCTTTACGCACGATTTCCCTTGAAATAGTGTTTAATAAGAATAATACAAAATGAACATTTTGTATGACTTATATAAGAAACTACTATGTATTTAGATGAAATATATCAATGAAAATGAATTATTTTGTTCTCTCGCATCATTTATTTGTATCGAAATATATGTTACAGAAGAAATTAGAATTCAAGAAAATTATAAATTTTCGTTTCTTCTATGACAACTTGAAATTTCAGATTTTGCTATAGAAGAACTTTAAGTAGTCTCGAACGCATAGTTTAAAGTTCATATTTTAGTTTATTTTATACAAATATCTTTTACATTCGGCAGAATTGATAGAAGATCAAAATGAAATTAAAATGTACACTTTAATAAATTACTTGATAATCATACTGAATAAGTTAAATTAAAAGTTTTATGATAATTTTTCAAAAATATAACCATTGTATGATGATATAATTTTGCTTCGATGAAATAATTGACTAAGATTCTTACCTTAAATTCTCAATGCATAAAAAATTTAAATTAATCAAAATTTGTGACTGAATTAATTTAAAAATTGACAAACTAGATAGATCAAATGGTACACCTAAAGTACTGTCATGTAAAATAATATCGATATGATCATCATCGAATGATATAGATCCTACCTATTATATGCAAATCTTCTAATGGTTACAACCATTCGATTTATCGAGCTATAATTTTCGCGGTCTGCCTGATTCATTTATGTCTGCAAACTTTATATGAATGCCAGATTAATTATTTCTGTTGAAGTATGTAACTGCAATATCACTGTCAGGCAGTAAACATAAAGTGTAGTATAAAATGCCATTCATCAAAAAATGCAACCGTATTCAAATATCTAGTTTAATTGGATCTACGGCAATAAGTTGCAGTGTTGAAAAATAAAATTAGCAAAAAAAAAATTTTTTCTAAGCATTATAGAAAACATAAATCGAAGAAGTCCAGAGAATAACTAACAATCTACTTAAGGAGAAGAAAAATTAGATATGAGTATAAATATTCTAATTGAGCATGAAAACATACAGGTGAATAAGTAGTAGTTGCTTTACACATTTATTATAGTTGTTCCTTACTTTACTAGTTAGTATCTACTACGATTTTCGCTATTCAACAATGAATATACTTGTTATCTTTTCGTGACATCCCGTTACATGAGAAATGTGCACATCAACATTAAATTAACATTTATTAGCGAAATCATCTATGAATCTATTGCATGGAGGAAATCTTTATTTTTCATATGTCATCGTCATCCTTGCACGGTTCTATATATGATTGAAACATATGTTTGCAAATAGAAGTTTATGGTAAATGAAATAAGAACCACGCTTGTGTCAAATATGCGAGTAATTATCGTAGAGCCCATCTATCGCTACGACCAACTGTCGTTTTCTAAGTGTAATTGTTGTATTCTTTGAAATATTATAGTTAAAGGATAGCTATTTAAAAAATTTTCCTATAGGAAAATCTGAAATTTCAAGTTAATCTAGAAGAAACTAAAATATTATTTTTGTCCTAGTAGAATTTTACGTTTTTCGGAATTCTAATTTTTTTCTGCAGAGTCAAACTTTTTCACTACGAAAATTTTTTTTTTGACTAATCTATATATATGTATTTCTTTTATTGATACTTGATAATGTGAATGTCTCTCTGATTTTTTTTCTTCTTGTAACTTATGAAATGTATTTTTGTTTATTACTTAATATATAAAGAATAAACTTGTTATTATGTGTGAGTAAAAAGAAAAAACTTGACTGTTTTTCTAATATAACTTCGGCATTGACTCCGAAGAATATATATTTTTTTCATGACTCCATTGGAGTCGAATTTCGAAGTCGGACGCCGCATTCTATCTATGACATATATATTTATCACAAAACTATGTTAGATAGTTATATACGATGCATACAAATGCAAATCATGTATTTCTTTTTGTTTTTGTTTATCTCATAAATTTTCATAAACTTAATATTTTATATAATCAAGTAATATCTATTTTCATGATGGCTACAGTTAAAATCTTATTTGATAATCACATGCTCATACAAACAATATATATCTATATTTATTATTCATGTGTATAAAGACATTATTCATACGACATCGATGTAGCACGTGAAGCAGTTTTTTTTTCTCAATGACATAAAAGAAGAAGAGAAAAAACGAAAACAAATAGAAGAGTAAAGATTAAAAATGAGAACTAAAACAAGGCAAGCAAAGACAAAAACGCAGAAAACAACAATATAGAATGTTTTCCTAAGAATTAAAATAAGAAAAGGTTAAAGCAGAATACATATACCAGACAAACGTATTAAACGATTGAACATAACTACCCTAGATAAACAAAAACCTGCCTGATAAAACATAGATGAATGATAAAGATAATAAGAAAAATAGATAATTTTTTTCTTTTTTTTTTGTTTATTTTCACATGCTCTTCAGATAATTTAGTTGTTGTAACTTATTTTTATTTTTATTTTATTTTTGTTTAAACATTAGGTGCTAATAACTGTCGAAGTACATCATCTCTAAGACAACCTTCAACAAATTCATCACGAGAAATATTTTTATCATCATTAAGATCTAATTTTTCCATTATTTTCTTCACACGAAGTTCTGGTGCATTTTCACCCTTACGATTTTCTTCACCTTAAAAAAAAAAACAAAAAAGAATATAACAAACAATCAAAATCTCCTAGAGATTAAAAATAAAATAAAATAAAATACAAACCTAAGAGTTCATAAATAGCCGTAATTACTTTCGTCATTTCTTTCTTGTCGATCTAAATAAAAGAAAAAGAGAACAATAACTCAACGTGACATATTACTGAACTTTAGGACAAAAAAAAAAGTTGAGGATTAATCACGCGCATAGACGACCAACGTAAGATAATAAGTGATGCAACATATATGTCGTGTGTTTAATATTGAGCGAATATGTACACATAGACAAGAGAAAAAAGTACGATCTTTACTATCTTACTTGTCCATTGGAATTCAAATCATAGACATCAAAAGCAAGACCAAGTTTATCTCGTATATCACCATTTGAATTAATGTTTACAGCAAGCAAAAATTCAACAAAATCAATATAACCATTATCATCCATATCAAATGTACGAAATACTTGTTGACTATATTTTTCTGCTTCATGTTCGGGATAAAATTTTTTATAAACTTCTGTAAATTGTCTTGGTGATAATTTTCCATTTGGACAATCACGTAAAAATGCTTGATGCCATTGACGAATTTGTTCAGGTGTATAATTTGTATTTTTTGTAAGACGATCAATTGTTTCGTCGTCTAATTCAACACCAATAGTTTTACTTTCTTTATGACCCATTGTAGTAGTATTATTGAAAAATAAAAAAAAAGCTAAATCTGAATATAGGTAATTTTAAGAATATAACTAAAATAGTTTTATGAATAAGATGATATAATATGATTTGATATAGAAATAACAAGGATGAAAACAAAACAAAATGAAAATAATCAAATGAAAGCAAGAACAAAATAAAGGTACACGAAAAGGAGTAATATGTATGAAAAACAATAGCACACAAAACAGTAAACGATGTGTTGTTCTTTCGCCAACACACGCATACAACTTGCTTTTATGTTCTCTCTTTTCACTAATACAATTCTTTTTCCTTTCTCTGTCCTACGACGACAAACGTTGTCGACAAGTCAGCAGCTTGCAAAAGAGAATAAAGAAGAAAAATGGTTATCAAAGATGCACTATGTGCTTATACAAACGCCCAATTTATATTCGGTTTTCTAACATTTATTATTAGTTTGTTTGTGCGTTTTTTCTTGTTAACGACACAATGTAACAAGAGTGTGCGGTGATGCGATACTATGAGTGTCCTTTTCATTATATGCTTGTAATGTTATAGTCTTCGTTTAAGGGAGAAAAAGAAAGCATAGAAAACAAATCGTATGATAGCAGAAGTAATAGGGAACAGCGGTAGAGCTTCTTTAAAAGATTCTAAGAATATAAGAGAAATAAGAAACGACAAAAACAATTGCTATTTTTCTTTTTTCCGATTGTTAGGCATGGCCAATGACGACATATATATGCATGCAACAGCTGGCCTTATTTTTATCACAGAATAAGAACGATTGGTAGATTGTATATGTAGTGTTATATCATCATATATATATATATATATATATATATATATATATATTCAATGCGATCGTAAGTTATATCAAGTAGATGCAGAATATTTTAATCAAAAATTCTATTAATCTCTCTTGAGAAGTTTTCTGTTGTTTTCTATTAAAAATTACCTTTCCATTTTTATTTATATCATACATATCAAAAGCTAATCGAAGTTTTTCTCTAACATCACCTAAAAACAAAAAAGAAAATAGAATTGATTAAAGATTTTATTCCTAATCTTTTTTCTATTTTTAATTTTAAATACTAACCATGAGATGTTATATTCACAGCAATAAGAAATTCAACAAAATCAATATAACCATTATCATCCGAATCTACATTATAGAAGAGAATAGGAAAAACAAACTTGAAATTTTTAAAAATCATTATTTACCAAATGCTTTAAAAACTTGTGAACAAAATTTTTCAGCTTTACCTTCAGGATAAAATTTCTAAATGAAACAACAATAAACAATTTCTATATCAATGAACAAATGAATATTATACCTTATACACTTCTAAGAATTTCTTTTTATCAAGTTTGCCATTAGGACAATCACTATGTAATAAAAATAAAAATAAATATTTATATATATATATATATTATTTTCTTTTGTTATCATTTTGTTTTTTATACCGAATAAATCCTTGATGCCAATCTTGAATTTGTTGTTTTGTATATGTTGTATTCTTTGTTAATCGTTCAATTTCTTCATCTGACAAATGAGTTAAGTCTTTTTTCTGTTTACTCGTTTTTTGTCCCATTTTGATATTATAATTAATTATACAAAAATTTTAAATTGATTATTAATACTTCTACAAAGAATATGGCAATGTATATATAAATACATAAATATTTATATCAAGAGACTATTGAAAATAAATTTAAGACGAAATATTAAATGATCCACAACATAATCGACTTTTTTTTGTCATTAGTTCGAGCTACATACAGAATCAATAAACGATAAAACGAAACCGTACTTCGTTCTGAATATAGATCAAGATGATATTCAACAAATGAATCTGTACACACAAATATATATTCACACTAAATATTAAGAAATATATGTATCAACGTAACATAAATAGTTGGATCGAATGCATACACAAAATACTAACAAAAAAATATATGCGCGTCCTCTTCCTTTTGCTGCATCTCTCACTCTCTTATGACGACGATCGACGATGATCACTGCCGCAGTAACGCCAACATTACTTATTCGTGGTTGTCAAAAAAAAAGAGACGGAGCGACCGGGCAAACGAACGAGAAAGAAAGATAAATGAATGCTTTTTATCATTTTAACATATTCTTTCTTTCCTCTTCGTTTTTTTTCTTGACTGTACTCTAATAACGACAAAACATTACACAAGTAATAGATTTTATATTCTTTCCACAATCATTGTGTTGGTTATCTTATCTTTTTTTGTTTCTTTTTATTATTTTGATAAATATAAAAATAATTTTCAAAAGAAAATGTTTAAATTGAATTAATAAAAACTTTCAATTGGCCAATTAGAAAATTTATATTGTTTGGGTAATGGTTTAATATTAACCGATTTTGCACGTCCATAGATTTCAATAGCTTGTTGTGGTAAAATTCTCCAACCAATTTTCTATATATAAAAAAACAACAAGTATCATATATAACTCATCAATCAAGAGTAACGCAAAAATAACTCAAGATGCTCACGTCATTTTCTGTTTCGGGAAATGCTCCTAATAAACGTCGACGACGTTGACCTGTAAGACGTTTATGTAATGGTGGAAAGATATTAGTTGGCTGTTGCCATTCAGTACGTTTCAGAGAAATAAGACAATTCTCACGAGAAATACCATGAACTTTTGCTATATTATCATACATCTGTAATTCATCATTAATAATTAAAAAATTTTAAGAATATTAAACATATCTTACTTGTCGATATTCATCAATTAACCATGGATCAAATTTTGTTATCCATGCTCGATGTGCTTCTTGTTGTTTATGAATAATTTCTTTTCTAATAAAAAAATTCTTTTATTCTTGTTTCAATCATTCGTTATTGTCTTTATTTTTGTCTAATTAATCGATTTACCTAGCTACATCTATTGTATTGTAATCTATAAATTCGATATTACTTGCTCGTGATAATGCAGCTACTGTTGGTTGACTACTGGTAGATATTACACTTTTAACTGTTGTTCGAGCCGATGGTATATTAGTGGAAACTACAAAAAAAACTGATTGTTTTTTTTTCTTTTTAAAAAATTATCATTCCTCGATTTACCGTGACGAGTATTTCTTTGTGACATTTTGTATTTTAATTTATTTAAAAAGAAATCAGTTGATTTAGTTTATATATATGGGCGGTTTCTTATATTTTTTTGTTGTCACAATTCTCGTTTGAATCATGGCGAAAAAAAAATCTATCGGCAGAGAAACATTTAAAATGCATAACGACAATAGCAAACATACAAACGTTTTCTTGGCAGGTGGCTTCTTGACTTTCTTTTCATTTGACAAGAAACAAAACTGCATTATTATTATTATTATTCTTTTTTTTTTATTGATTGAATTCTTTAGAAGCAAAAAAAAAAACAAACGAGACAGAAAGAAAAGCTTTTTAAGATTAGATAAAATAAATACTATATCCAATATGTACATCAGTTTCTTTGCAGATTAGATTTTAATATCTTAAATATTGTTGATATTTTATTTCTTTTTGTCATTTTGATTTATACTTCAAGGATATCAATACTGCATAATAATAAAAAACACTTCGAATAAAAAATTTCAAGCAATAAATATCTCAATAAATCATAGCACTTTTTCTTTTATAGACTATGAATAGTAGATCATACACATTTTGAATTTATTTAGATAATCTCAACCAAAAAAAAAAAGATTTCATGATGATTTTGGTAAAAAAACAAACTTAAAAAAATACTCTAAGCAATCGTATTCAAAATGATTCAACATAAACAATAAAGCCACATAAATTTTGAAGTATTTAATGGATTCTATTCAAAGTTTATTCTGATTTTTCACAGGATACTGCAATACCAAGACAATAACACTTTCATGAAAAGACAAATAATACAAGTAAATAGAGATGGAATCGGTGAAGGTTTGTCATGCTCGACATCAATACCGGCTTTACAATTTGAATATTAGGTTGATGCCAAACAGAAGCAGAAAGATTCTTAATGGTAATTGAATACCTAAGAAGTTCCATTAGTGTCAAAATGTGAGAGTTGAATCCAATTATTGAAGATCTTTTCAGATATTCTGATATTACCCTGCGTATATAGTTCCGTGGTGTCCTCAGCGCGAAAGTTGCTTCGTATATATTTCTATTTCCATGAATATCTAAATTTCATGTATATATATATTGAATTATTGAATTCAACTATCTGATTTGACATATATGCAAAATTCTATTTTTGTTCGAGTCTTGTTATATTTATTTATTTGATAAAAATATTTGAATAATTGATTTATTAAAATCTACACATGTCAAACACATATGTTCTTTTTTTTTTGCTTTACAATTTCCATGAAACAAATATAGTTTAATTGAATAGTGAATCTTCAATGATTTACTATGATTTGTATTCTGAAATTTATTAATATTGACATTTTAATTAGAATGAAAAATGTTAATGATGAATCAAGTAACGTCAGCTTATCAACAACAGTAGAAACAATAAGTCCCATCAAAGATATTTATTCTTAGTTACATAGGGAAAACTGAAGATTGATTATTCTACGAGAATGAATTATAGTGAAAACAAGACAGATCTGATATACATAATTTATTTGGCAATAAATATTGGAAAATAATGATTGAAAACAAAAATATATATCGGAAGAAGATGATAAATCTATGATTGAAAAACTTTCTCTTTAGAAAAATAATTCAAACCAGTCCTTTAATTTCATTAGTAGTTAAATTAACAGAAGTTGATCGAACAATATGTATATATATATATATAGACATTACTGCATTATTAAATATAATATTATCGACAATAGCCGATTGAAATAATTGAATTTGTCTCAAACGAAACAAAACAGATATATAACAAATCTATTTTATTATCAAACTAACGACTAAAATAGTTCAATTGATCAATATTTTCCACGATTATATTTAAAGATCTTTGTATATTATTAGAAAATAAAACAAAATCATTTTTAATGATGCAATAAGTTCAATAGGGTACATCAATAGATTTTTGAATAAATTAGATTAATATAAATAAATCAACATTGAATAACTTACTTGTCCAAATAATACATAAGTACGCTCACGTACTTCGATTAAATGAAGTATTTTTTTTTCTTCCGAATCATTTAATATTATTTCATATAGGAGATGTATATATGTATATTCTTTTAAATTTCTTATCTTTTATGCAAATCATATATAGGTTACAATCTTTTTTTTGTATTAGTTGTTGATATAAGTATTGAATTGTAATAATAAATATTTTCTAATTGTAGTTCATATTACGAAAATATTTCATTGAAATATTACTATATGTATAATGATATACGTTAGAATTCGAATGATTATATAAATCAAAAATATTTATTATTAATCTTATTGAATAATTAGGATCTAAAGATCAATGTATTCAAAAGAATATTCTATATTAATCAATCCTTCACTAGAAGTATATTGGTGTTAACAAGTAAATGATTAATTGATATTCCTATCAACATCAATATCAATCGTTGTATAAACCAATATTTATCTTAAATAGCTTAATACACGACCAACTAATAAAAGACTTACATATAAATATACAGATATTTAGAAATTCTCTATATCTACAGTAAATAATCTAATAAAATTGACTGAAATATTTTCGAAATATGTTATTTAAATAATGATCATATCTAATAGAATATATATTCAATTTTTTACTTCAATGAAAGAGATTTTATTTAAATTAATTGTCATACGTGCATACATTGACAAAAGAGTTGAGCTAGAAATGAATACACACATGAGAAAAGAAAAAGGCACATAAACAATAAAGATTATGAAAGAAAAAAAAGAAAGAAAACTTTTTTAAATAACAATATTATTGATTGTAATTTAAAAAGATGTATTGTCACATAAGTCGACAACGATTTAAATATCGACGTTTTTTTCGTTTCTTTTTTATTGGATATTGATTTTGATTTTGTTGTCGTATTACACGAACAAGTTCATGAAATGCAGTATCAACATTTACTGGTGGAACTTTTGCACTGGTTTCAATATATGGGATTTGTAATTCATTTGCTAATTCACGACCTTCTTCTTCAGATATTTTTCTTAAATGCACTAAATCAATTTTATTTGCAACAAGAATCATTGGATAAGATTTTCTATTTAAAACCGAAAGGTACAAATAATTTATATTTTTGTATAAAATTCTTCAAAAAAAAAAAAACGAAATACCTGTCTTTAACACGAAGTATTTGATTATAAAATTGTCGAGTATTTTTAAATGAATTAGAATCAATCACAGAATAAACAATAAGAAAACCATCACCTTTACGCATATATTGTTCACGTAAAGCAGAAAATTCTTCTTGACCAGCTGTATCAAGAACATCAAGTACACATACTTGTTTATCAACTTCAACATGTTGAATATAACTATCTTCAATAGTTGGATCATAATCTTCAACAAACATTTTTTGAAAAAACTAAAATGAAAATTATATGAAAGTTTGTTTTTTTATTAAATTCTTTCAATATTGTATTTACTTGAATGGTTAAG